TCTCCTATAGTCAATACATAACCTTAACGTCCAATCTTCCCTTTCTTACAAATGGGACTCCAGCACTCCAAGGAGAAACACGGTGTTGGATGAACCCACTGTCCTGTAGTTTCTTGATATATTCTTTCAACTCTTTAATTTCTACATAGCTCCTTCGGTAAGGAAAAATTAAGATAGACTGCGTGCTATACTTAAGGTATATGGTGAACTCAACTTCCCTGTCCATTAGTGGGTATGGAAAGTTCATCAGGAAACACATCCAGAAAGTCTCGAACTATCAGGATCTCTTGAATACAGATTTGTTTTCTTAAGTTCGTATATTATAGAGAAAACAATCGAATTAAAGTGCTATGTACTAAGGAATTTATTAGGGGAGAATAATATTCAAAACTTTTATTAGATTGTAAATGACTCTTTTGTTAGGAAGTTTAAATACAATTTTTCTCATGAAAACAATCTACAGTGGCGTGATACGTCGCCAACCAGTTCATTCTTGAAAATATATCAGGGTCCCTCGTGTTAATCTGTATTAGGTCCATCATAGGTGAAATCGAGTCCCGTGGAAGAGGGGTAAGATGTTGCTAGGGGAGGGACTGAGTGGCCTCGTAACGATGCTGGATGATACGGTGGGGGCTTCGAATCGTATTGTGACGGTTATGGATGATACGATGGAGGAACAGGGATGCATCGAAGTGGCATTATATCCTCTAGTTGTAGGGGTCGCTCATAGTGTTGAAGTAGTAAAGGGTCAGATAGTTCCCTTCTCACTTCCTTGGCCCACTGGGCAGAGATGAATCTATCTAAAATCTCGAAGATCCGATCGACATCCTCTCGAAGCGACCCATCTTGGGCTGCCCTATTCAGCAAGGGATCTCATCTTCTTGTGTCTTTATACTTATTTTTCAAAAGGAAGGGTTGGACGATAGTTCGTATTTGGTGTTCTTAAGTTTTCGTGTAAGGAATAGTTATAAGGAATGTGGCTGTGATACCAACTATAATGGCACGAAACTTAAAATGAAATAAATTATATATTGAATGCGGAAGCGAAATAATAAATTTAAAGTTTACATTCCTTATACAATAATTTAGAATATCCAATAGGGATACGAGAATGACCTTTTTAAAAGAACAAAGA